TATAAACATACTAATGGTCTATCACTCATACTGCGCTGTGATTGGCTACTCTACTAATGGTCTATCACTCATACTGCGCTGTGATTGGCTACTCTACTAATGGTCTATCACTCATACTGCGCTGTGATTGGCTACTCTACTAATGGTCTATCACTCATACTGCGCTGTGATTGGCTACTCTACTAATGGTCTATCACTCATACTGCGCTGTGATTGGCTACTCTACTAATGGTCTATCACTCATACTGCGCTGTGATTGGCTACTCTACTAATGGTCTATCACTCATACTGCGCTGTGATTGGCTACTCTACTAATGGTCTATCACTCATACTGCGCTGTGATTGGCTACTCTACTAATGGTCTATCACTCATACTGCGCTGTGATTGGCTACTCTACTAATGGTCTAATTTGTGATAGACCACTCGCGGGAAAATCAAAATGGCGGCATCTCATTAAAAATGATTTTAAGGATATTTCAATTTGTTTTCATTATTTGACCGATTAGTATGTTTATACTAAAACAATTAGACCGCTGCGGCCTCGTGGACTACGAGCTAATAGCCCATTCGGCATCGCGGACTCGGCCTCATGGGCTATTAGGTAGTAGTCCACTCGACCCCGAGATCTAATTGTTAATTAGATTAACAAGTACAACAAGTACCGAACAAGTATAACAAGTACAAACAGCTCACCTTGSGTAATGATAACTAAATGTTCATGAAGGAGCTAAGTGTATTGAATGACGTTAGAATGATTGATGCTTATGTCTAATGTTTTTCGCTTAAAATGCACGCTGAATCATTACGATTTTTCACACAGACATTAGGAGTAGTTTATTTCAATTGTGCTAAGTTTTAATTCGGTCTACAAAAGGTTTACCTTCAGCGATTANTTATAAGAAATAATACTGTTAGACATTCATTGAATCAATTGATGATTGGCTAGTTAAATGTTCCTACCTTCTAAATTTCCTGATCATATCTAAGTAACTCCACTCCCAAGCGTGCATCTTAACGGTTCGTATGCCTTTGATGATCTCGTTAACAGCTGAAACACGTTGATCTGTTGCAGATGCTTGAAGAAGTCGATAATACGCAAAGCGTTGAGAAACCAAAACCTGAGAAAAGCTAAAAATGAGAGTAACAAAAATACCAGAGACTGCCTTCCAGTGAACTAGAGTACTTAAAAGGACAACAGCCAATGAAAAGTCAATGGCAAGTGTCAAACCACATCTAGAAATATCGCTAATTATGTTACGAACACGTTGAACATCGTTTGACACCAAGCTTAAAATGTGTCCAGTTGTCTTTTTAGAGACGCTGACCCGACTTGACTTCAAAACCTATGAAGACAAAGTAAGTATCATTCACAAGAGACTGCATTCTGTATGCGGTTCACAACAAACTCTTAGTCTGTCTTCTAAAAAATTACATGGAAAACTAATAATCGTTTCGGAAACGCTGACTGCATGATATGCAGGCAGCCTGACGGATTGATCAATCGATTTTTATTTCTATAAAAAATGTTTTGATGAATGAGATATTAGTTTAAGTAATAAAACAACGGAAATGCAAAGAATTCGGAAATTCAATCGGACKTTTTTCCATTTCTTTTGTTCTATTACTTGAAATAATGGTTGTTCTATCGATTTATCAAAAAAAGAAAAATCGTTTGCCTGACGTTTAGTTTTTTGATCACTCCATCAAGCTGCCTGACGTTTAGACACTCCTAAATATTAAATCCTGCACACGTACCYTTYGGTGTATTAGCCCAGAGMAAGCAATGGTGAGTCGCATTCCCATCATCTTTGCTTTAAAATCGCCATGATGTCGAGAAAAAGAATAAGTGAATGCTGCTGYTCCTATTCCAACAGCTCCAGCAATTAACAGATATGGGATGCTTTTGATGGATTTCTCTTGTTCTTGTAAAGTTTTTAGAAACAACCACAGCATCACGGAYTTGCAATACATACTTAGTGTCTCTAGTAACCTGCACAATAATAGCGATAGGTAGTCAGTCCAGGGAAAGAATCGATACATTGCTTTCCATAGTCGTGGTTGTTTGCCACGGCGTTCAGCAGAGATGATCTCTTCTTGCCAAACTTCTTCAAAGTCTTTTACAATGTATTCTGCTTGATCTTCGTCGGCCAATTCGAACAGGTCATCTTGTGATAGTTGTCGTTGACTGCCAATTCTTAATAAACTGTTTATCCAAAAGAAAAATAAACGAGAAAGTATATTGGCGCTTTCTCTGGGATTTTCTCTTGGCATCATCAGCTAGTTCTGAATAAGGATTTTTGAGTTWAGTTAAAGACCTCTCGACCATTTGGACCGTTTATGCTGATTATTGATATATTCATAATCAACACTTTGATTTCCATTGGAAAACGTGTATTTTGTTCCCACGTTTTCCTAATTGAAATCATTTTGTAAATCAAGATAAGTGTTTTTTAAAAACGTTTTTGAAAAATCGCACTTGTAAACGGGACTTWAGATTGGTTTTCAAGGTTAAACCGTGAAATACTCTTCAGTGTGATATGCTTTAATACACTTATGTTATACGGCTAACTTCAAACGTGCTGAATTTTAGGCGACTAAGAAGAGACATACAAACTGTTTCCCAATCAGGAGTATTTATCAACTTGACACGTAACCCTTTGGTGTATTAGTTCATTAATAGCGAGAGAGCGAGCTGTTTTTTTTACTAATGACTTGTTCTATAAACTATCACTGGAAGAAGAGAGTTGGTTGATGACTTAGACGCATATCTAATGGTTTCGTTCTGTGTTGAATAAAGATATAAAGTCAATACTCAAAGGTTTTAATGTGAAGTGAATCAGAACTATAATAATAATCACAATAATATATAATACTTATATTGCGCGCTTTTAATATCAATATTACAAGACGCGCAGTAAAAGAAATGCAAAATAAAGATTAATTAAAGTCAAAGTCAAGTGCTTCATTTAAAAAAAAAATCTTCATGCATCAGTTCCAACGATTTTCTATTAAAATCAGCACAACCTGCGAAGCCACGTAATATGCGGGTTATGGTATCTTTCTCACGTAAACAAAATCGGTATTCTATCTTGTCTAACTTTACTGGATAAGCGGGGCAAGCCTTTATGACATCCAACAGATGCATATAGAAGTCGAATTTTACATATAGCAACTTAAAACCGTGAGCATGTTTCTTGATCGCCTTTGATGGTGATTGTTTTTGTTTTTGTGGTTGATCAGCAATTAAAGCAACAGCTTACTTCTCCTTAGCCATTATGACTTTTAAACAGCTGTGCGAAAACCCCATCGGTCTTAGAAGCAAGTATTTCTGGTTTATCGTATTCTACCACGTGACCACGKTCAAGTACCAGTACCCTATCGTAATCCATGATAGTGTTTAGTCGATGTGCAATGGTCAACACTGTACAATGACTGAACTTCTCCCTGATGACTTGTTGGACAAGCTGATCGGTTTTGTAATCCACGTTGGCTGTTGCTTCATCCAACACAAGAACTTTGCATCTTTGAAGGATTGCTCGAGCAAGACACAACAACTGCGTCTCACCAACACTAAACCCTGATCCACCATCACCGATGGAGTATTCTAGAAGACCTTGCAATTTACTGACACGTTCTTTCATTTGCACCACATCTAGTGCTGCCCAAATCTCCTCCTCGGCAAAATGATGAAATGGATCGAGACTGTGTTTGAGACTTCCACTGAAAAGAATCGGGTTCTGAGAAATGACGGAGATGGATCGTCGAGCAGCTTGAATGTTCAAGGTACCAAGATCTACACCATCAATGATTACATATCCTTGAGGGTCGGGCATGCGAAACAATGCAGCTACCAAAGAAGATTTTCCAGCTCCAGTTCGACCAGCAACTCCTACCCTTTCGTGAGATTTCACTTCAAAGCTGATGTCATCTAAGACACTAGCTCCTCCTTTCAAATATTTCAGAGACAGATCTTTCACAACAAGAGCTCCTTGATTTGGCCAGTCGTTTGGTGGCTCTCCATTCATTTGATAACCTGGTTCAGAGGGTAGTTGAGTGTATTTCATTACTCGTTCAACTGCTGTCATCGACGTTTCAATTTCAGTAAACATCGCTATGCCAAACGACGCATGTCCCATTG